ACACCGTTTTTACACGCCAGTGAGCAACGATGCAATTCGTAAGATTCGAGTGGTACTCTTTGATTCACAATGCAGAAACCACTTTTGTGCATCATTCGTCACGATTCTCTCCCGACAGGTACACATGTATTTATCGTATAGGTGCATCCGTACTTCCTTGACGCGGAAATGCTGCCCTGTCCCCTGTATTTCTCTCTGTCTCTTCAATAAATGCACAACTGCGCATCCCATTACCCACAAACGCATCCCAAGCCGAGTCTCTTTCATGGACTATGTGTGTGTGTGTGTGTGTGTGTGTGTGCGCGCGGCGAACGATATCGTGCCATTTTCAAAGCCGATGATCGATAAGTTTTCCGTGTCACTGCCGCCTGCGCTTTCTTCTTCCTCGTATTTCTCCCTCGTGACTTCGAGGACAGGCAGGGAATTTGTGTCCTATCACAGTGATGAGTCGTGCATTCGTTTGCGAGCTACAGTTGACCTCGGCCTGTTGTTCTTTTGTATAGTCACTTTGTTTTACTAGATTTCCCCAGTTGTAGGCTATTCCACGGCAAATTTTTTATTTTTCTTCGTAAACCCCGGACCAAATTTTTTAAACATTTATGTGACTATAATGTTGCATCCACACTGGTAGTAATATTATTTTTCAATTATGACCTCAGCCAGAAATAAAAGAAAAAAAACCTTTGGCCCGCTCGCGACACGCAGCTCGTAAAAGCCAAAAAGCCATAAACGTCCCCCAGGCACAGAGCTTGGATCGCGTAACGACGCTTTCGATTAAGAAAATCGTTTTAGAAGCATTAAATTGTAATTTACAGCCCAAGGTAGAAGACGAGGCATTTTTCAAGCCAACCCCGGTAATAATCCCCATTCCATTCCATCGTAACTCTATGGCAATCTACTTTGTAAGCTCCAAAGTTACTTTTTACCTCTATTCTCTTCACACTAGCATCGGCTCGTAAACTTTTTTTTCCCCCTCAAATAACCGTGTGAACGACATATTTTCCATATTCAAACTCATACTGTTTTCATACACGCAGGCGAAAAAAAAGAAGATGGGGATACAGTTAGCCGGTGCATCCTCAGAACAGGCAAATATATGAATATATGCAGAACAGGACGATTTCACTAAGCAATAGGAGTAAAGCAGTACAGATCGATCCAATGGGAATCTGCACTATTAGCTGGTACCCCGCTCTTCTTGTGCATCTCTGCCCCGTCGTTCCGCTATCATAAGCGAATCAAGATGAGCAAAATGCAAACCCGAGGTCCCGAGTGCCCACGATCTGGTTCGTTCTGTATGTAGATTCTATGTGCACATTCGCGACGCGTATAAAGGTAAACACGCGCACGCGTGCACTGCAGAGCTGCCGAGATATAGGGATCCGATAAACATACGTGCACACAGCAAGAGACGCTGGATGTACGTACGAAGGAGGAGGAGGAGAGAGATGCCGCGGCATCCACAAAGGAGCGTAAATAAGCCACCGCTAGGAGGAGAAGAAGAAGAAGGATCCCGTGGGCTTGATATCTGCCCACACAGTGGTAGCTGCAACCCTAGCAGCGCGTGTGTGTATTGGTGTCCATCGGTAGCCAAGAAGAAAATAGAGAGAAAGAGAGATTCTAGCAGCTGCGTCTTTTCTCTCCGCAGGAGTTTGGACTAGTTTTCTTCGGGACATGTATCTATAGAGGGTCACGAAGGTTCAGGAGGCCAAGAGATGCACCAATGAGATGCTGCTCATCTCCTACGGCCTATCTCCCTTTCCCCTCGGTATCTGCACGTGTATGTTTTATGTGTACGCGAGTGGAGGCAACATAGGTATCCCCCTACCTCGTGCTTACTCCTCCTTTCCGCTGTACACTCTCTTCTTCTCCACAATCCACTAGTACTGCAAAAACAACTACTATTATAGTTTGCCGAAGAATTTGCTTTCTTATACGTTTGCATTGTGAGCGGGTCCGTGGAAAGTATGATTGTTTTTTCAACGCATCGTTAGGGAAGAGGAAGTTGTATACGAGTGCCCGGACAACTATTTGGAGAAGACGATCGATCTGTCCTTCTGTTGGTTGTGATCGGAGTTTAATGAAGATTTAGGATTAGCCGGTCGAGAGTATCGAGTCGCATTGCTGAGGATGCGCTAGTTGTGATATCTGGGGCTCCAGCGATGGGGCTTCCATCGATTAGAAAGTACACAACAACGACAAGGAGGGCGAGCGTTTTGGGGTTCGAGGTTTTTTTCGATGCCGCTGTTACTTTTCCGTGGAGAGTTGTTTGCTGAGAGGATAAGTGGCTGCGTTGTACTCGGTTGTAACTACTGGGTTGCTTCACTCTAGGGAGTTAAAATAGTGATGGGTCTGAGATTTATACGTAAAATCTTTTTCAAACTATTATGCACGAAAGAAGAAACAATCGTGTTTTGTTGCCTGTAGCTGATGCTTGTGCATAATCTTCAAGTATTTTTTCTTGCGAAAAATATATGCTTGTGAGTTAGAATAATAATTTTTTTTGTGTACAGTATCTGTGCTATACTTGTCTGTGACTACTTAGCTACAATTAAATATAAATATACACTGTTAGTACTTTCAAAACTGAATACAAAATTTATTTTATAAGAAAACATAACAAGTAAAATGAAAAACCATTATAATGCTGATTATTTTGTCTGTACTAAACTTGTCTGCATCTACTTATGTTGTACCTTCAGTACTATAGAAGTCCATAAAAAGGTCCTAAAAATTTTTTGTATTATTATTAATGTAAAATCATTTCAAACACTCTTGTTTGTTGAATTTCTTGTCTGTGTTATACTTGTCTGTACCTACTAAGTAACAGAGAATATAAATAATACTAATTAAAACAAGTATTATTTATATTTTTTAATGAAGTTATAGTACAAACAATATTAATTCAATAAGGGTTTTCTCATTATGCCAATACTTATGCAAAAATACAATAATTACACTGATTGCTTGATGTGTCCATACTGTCCTTGTCTGTATCTACTTCATTATTCCTCAACAGTGTCAATGACACTGTAAAATCTGATAAAGGAACTTTAAAAATAATTTGTGTCAATGATGCCCGAATAGAATCATTTCAATTGTTCTTATTCATAGCAAGTCATGCATGTCTGTCTTATACTTGTTTGTAACTACTGAAAAACTCAAAAATAACAAAAAATACTACGATTTGTCAAAAATAGAAATTTGAAAGTTATTTTTAAGATAATAATGGATTCTAACAAAAAAGCTTAAGTATTACTGATTGGCCAGTACATATTTAAAGTATTGCTTTCAAACTTTAAGTTTTAAGATTTGTTATTGGTAGATCCAAACGATCGATAGCAATAGTAAACATGATTTTTTATCAAAGACTACCAATACCAATAAATGAATTGGAGGTGATATTTTTTATGGCTGCACAAGGTGTATGTCTTAGATACACTTGTCTGCATCTACTAAGTATTTTTCTAAACGTACGTAATGAAAAATTGTAAATAAATGTTCATGATAAAAATTTTTTAGGATAAAAAAAGTTCTCAGTGTTATCAATCAGAAAGTAAAAACAATAAGAAAAATTAGTACAATGCAAATATGAAAATAAATGTGTTGAAAATATATAAATACCTTAAAATAATGAAGTTATGCTGTATTTATTCGTATTTTTATTGATTGTCTATGCTACACTTGAATGTACTTACAATCAAGATGTCAGTAGATAAAATGACCAACCTCAGCAGTATCCTGCTTGCAAAGTGACAAAAGGATTTTCAGCAAAAACAGCAAATCGGTACCAAAAACAATAAAGTAATCGTGTAGCCATCGTCGTCAGCACCGTCCTTCTTGACGCTGCATCTCGTAAATATTTATCCGGCGTGTTATTACCAAGCAATCAAAGCAAGACTCTTGACTCTACAGCTATAAGTCATCGAACGAAGAAAATTCCAATGCACACCTCAAACGCAAAGAGGAAAAGAGAAATATTGAGAGGGACGCGCTTGTCCATGCACGCAAGTATCCGACAGCGCATCATTACCATCATCCGCGCCTGCACCCCGAGCTCACTAGTACATTTAAATATTCCATGTGCAATCTCCCTCCCGTCTACTTTAGCGCGCGCGTGCTAATGAAAATCGGCACGTCATATCGCCGATCCCACGCCTACTTGCCGCTCCGCATGTAGGTGCCATTTGACCACATGTTTACCTACACCTACAAAATCTCCAAGCAACACCTATACACCGTCATGAATCTCGGATGCAGCAAATACATGTGGAAAAAAAGGACACTCCGAGTCGCTCCCCTAAATAGAGAGGAGGGAAAGGAAGAGACAGGTGTAGGGGGGGGGAGCAGGGCCGGATTGAGCATTTTTCTTTGGCAGCGGCGACTCATGCTCATTACTCACGCGGTACATGCATAATACGCGCACGTATCATTACGGCAACGCTAGAATAGCGCGGACAGCAGATGAGTGGGTCGGTGTGTCAGGAAGGTCATACAAGAGAATAACAACAACAACAACAACAACAACAAATCCCTCCTTTCGTGCCAGCCTCCTTCGAGCTGCTGCTGCTTCCAATAGTCGGCTGGCATCCTTGTGCCCTCCTCTGCCATGGGCCCATCCTTTAGCTTGGCTCTTTCTCCTTTGCTCTCTAGCAGCTGCACCAGCCGGGCCCGGAGGTGAACGTGTGAGCGCGTTACACAATGTAGCGAGCGGCAAGAAAGAGAAAGAGGGAAGGACCGAGGAGAGCAGCTGCACGTGCACGTGGGCATGCATGCATCCTAGATACGCGGCTCTCATCCCTCGTCGGCCCGGGGGGGAAGGAAAGGAAGGCCCGGGACTCCTATATATCAGCCAGCCGGCAAACTCTGGGCGCCAGTCTCCGAGTAAGCATCAACAGCCGAGGTTCATCGGTGGTGCGTGTAAAGTCAGTCGTCCCGTTTGGTGGTGTCGTTCGTTACCGTATAGTACCGATATATTGCCATTGTCCTTCCCAAGAGCCATGGCCAGAGCAGTTGCAACAAGCTCAGGGGGAGGTAGACGTGCTGCGTACATTGTCGGGCTGCTACTGCTGCTCGTGTGCTTCTTTGGGCCCAACGGGGCTCGAGCCCTCGACAGCGGAGCCGAGCAGGCCAGCACGATCTTCGACAGGGGCTACCGGGCGCTCTATCGTGTCTACGAGGACTGCCAGCAGCGCAACTTCGGTGTATCCGCGTGCCTCAAGAAAAAGGCCATCACGTTCTTCGAGCGCCTTGGTCGCATCGACACCCTGCCCATAGCCGAAAACCTCGAGCTGGTGAGGGTCCCGGGCGTCGAGAGCCCCACCGAACCAGCGAGCAAGAGTAACGCGAGCGAGCTCGAGGCGAGCCTGGGTCGGATGGGCGGCTCGGGACGGGAGGACGTGCTCAACGATATACTCCTCGACCGCGTGTCGTCCCTCATGAGCAGCTTCAACGTCCAAATCCGGCTGCCCAAGACGTCGCCCCAAGAGCTGAAGCGCTCGATGGAGGAGGGCCGCGGCAAGATGAAGAAGATGATGGGCATGATGATGATGGGCATGGCCATGAAGATGGCAGCCATGGTACCCCTGGCCATGGGGGTGCTGTTCCTGCTGGCGGGCAAGGCGCTCATCATCAGCAAGATCGCCCTCGTGCTGTCGATGATCATCGGGCTGAAGAAGCTGCTGTCGCAGAAGCAGAGCAGCGATCACGGACATGGGTGGCAGTCGGGCGGTGGTGGAGGTGGTGGCGGTGGATGGGACCGGAGCCTCAAATCGCTGGACATCGAGGACGGTAGTGTTGACGGAGCTGCGGTGGCGCAGGAGTACGCGCACAATCTCGCCTACGGAGCCACGAGGCCTCAGCAGCGAAAGTAGATGGTTGCTTTTTGGAAAACCGGCGATGGGGAGGGAGGGGGAGGGTTTTCGCGTAACTTTCGATGACAGGGGTTTTTTTATTTGACGTGACGCACGGGACTGTGTGACTGTTGTTTCTTTCTCTCTGCCATTGATTGTGGGGACAATTTTTTTTTTTTTTTTTTTTTGTATTCAACTGCGTTGAGACACTCTTTTGTATGGGTTGTCGTGAGTAAGGATTGTGCCAAGATTTATTGCAGCGTTACGATGATCATTATATGCGTTCTGCTTAAGAAATCTGTCCAAGTGCTCGTATTCATCGTAAAAATCGAATCGCAACAAAATATATTTGCACAATAATGAGTGGAAACAGAAAATCTCACAAATTATTTACGGACAATCGTAAAATTTCGACTCACACGCAGATTTTATTTTACGCGCTATAAGGGAATCGTAACAATGTAATAGTTATAATACCATCGCATGAGAAATACATTGTTGGAGGAATTTTCGTACCCACAAAATTAGACGCTACACTCATTAACGGACGCACACACGCACGTATACTTGGACGCATAGACGGGACTGTACTGAATACCATAACGACGAAAAACACCAGACTTTACGTGACTATGCGAAAGTTTGAGCGTGAAAACTGTAAAGTTACATATACATGTGAAGAGAGAAAGAGAGAAAGAGGAAAAAATACGCGCTGAAACGCGAGTCGCTTAATAAGCGTGTGTATTCCGTATGGTATAGCATCATTAAAAGAGCTAAGACTAACACTACACTTACATAAAACGCAATACTAACATATACACACTCATGCAAAATATTGTTTTTAACAATTCGGCATAGTTAAATTTTTTTCAATGGAGTCGACAATAAATTTAACAGATTGAGAAGGGTGGATGGAGAGGAATAGCGTCGAGCGGCGTCCCCTCCCTCCCCCAACCCTTTCTCTTCTGACGACAAATGCCCGTGTTACCCTCTCGAACGACGTCACATTTTTTGCGCTCATCCACGCGCTGTGGCTCGTAGAAGTGTAATCCCGATCTTTTTTCTTTTTCCAAGCTGATTATGCTTATCTATCATCGTCAGTGGAGTGTAACGGGAAGCACCTGTCGTCAGCGTGAATGCACACTCACACGTATCTAGACATTTTACAGACACCGGCGTACGCGAGAGTTATTCGTCCCTAATGGCAATGGAAGGATCATACAAACTAATGTATTTTTTTTTATTCTTACGCAACAATTCAATTAATTAATTTATTAATATACATAATATATTTATTTATTTATTTGTATACTACGATTTATCAATCGAATCAACAGCGAGTATTTATAAACGCAAATCAGCTCTACGAAAGCGTCAGAGCTCGATCGCAATCCATTGAGATTGGCACTTATGTAAAGTACCAAACGAACATCGTCACACTGTATAAATATGCTACGAGAGAAAACAAAAAATAAAGTCACACCGTTCTTTCTCTGCAAAAGTACGAGCTATTACTACTTATTTTTCCCTACCTTCTCCATAACACTTTTGAACGAACAAACAAACAATGAGGAAGCGTCTGTTGTTGCACACGCGATGAAAAGAAGATTACCAATCCTCTCAGTGATCTCGGTGGCTGTGGTTGTCGAGGCCGAGCACAGCCGCGAAGAGAGCGTAGAAAAAGCCAGCCAGGCCCGCCGTGAACTTGAAAAGGATGAGGGTTCCGACGAAGGTTGGGATCAGAAACATGAACTTGAGCGTATAAGCCATCACTATGGCCATCAGCACGCGGTTCATATGCTTCAGCTTCTTCTTCTTACCACGCGCCTCTCCTGCAGATCCTGTGAATTAGGGGTTGTGATTTATTATTTTTTTTCTTACTATGAATTTGTTTAATAGTTTTTCTTACATCGTTGATGTGTTTATAAATTTGTTTGAACATCAAATTGTTTAAGAAACTTTCGAATTTTTTAATTCAATTTTTAAAATTTCTTAATTTTTTTACCAAAATACCGATATTATATCAATGGAGATATTTTCATAAAATCCATTTTTTTTGTACGATAAGTACCAACACTCAAAATAATCTTATTTTCTTGTTCATGGTAAAAAAAGAAAAAAAAGTAGTTTTGCAATCTAGAGGGATGAAAATGCTTGTTAAACCTTTAAAATATTGCAAACTGTCCTTTACTTTGCCTACTTTTAGAACTTGTTTTTCCAACACGCCGTTAAAAACACGAGGACTTCCACAGCCCCTTGTTGTGAAAAATGAGAAAATTATTTTGTTTTTTTCATTTTATTCAATAACCATACCATCAACTTTTTCGATTCAACTGTCCACCGAACTAGCCTTAAAAAAAACAATAAAATGGCTGATTCACCTCTTTCTTCGATATCATCATACTTCTTCTGGAGCAATGCAGTCGCGTTATCGAATCCGTCTAAAAACAGCTTCCTCTGATTCGCAAACCTCAGCATCGTCCTTTCGAAAAAGTCACCCGCAACATGTTCTCCCTGCGTTGACGGCACTGTTACTTCAGCAACCCCGTACTCCATCACCAGTGCCATCATCACTAGCACAACGATATTGCCGATCCACAGCCTCATGGCGTCTCCTCGAATCCTTCCGATGTTTCCAGCTCTGAAATCCTCCTCGTGTCACCTCACATGTCTACTGGAGGATCCACTCACGATGGTTGACTTTGCTGTCATCCAGCACTACTATACCGAGCGACACGGGGTCGATGAGCAAAATAGCGCTACGAAAAATCGGTTCGTCCTTTGAGATCAGAAAACATTTTCGAGCTTGCAAAGGCAGTGTAAGATATGGAAGAGCAGGAAAATTTGAAGGAAAAATGTAACTCAGTCAGAGTCCAGGGTGACGCGCGATCGGTAACTAAGGCGCACCGATCTCGATCGCCTCTGGCCGAAGAGGCTGTCCGACTGACACTCGGACAGAGGCGGTGGCGGTGGTCAGGCAGTAGGGGCACGCTTCAGTTGTCCCGGGGATCGACGGTCCGTGAAAAATTAGCCTCCGAGATTATTACGCGCACTGCTGCTGCTCCTACCGATCTATATAATCTACCGAGCTTGGCTATGCTATTTCTGTTTTTCTTTTGTCTTATTTATTTGTTTATTATTATTATTACTATTTTTTCTATCATGTTTCCTCAATTTGCGGAAGTGCGTGCACGACCGGTGCGTGCGTGTCGCGATGCCTTGAATTACTCAGAAGTATTGCGGGTAGTTGACTCTCTTTCCTGTGAGATCGACGCTAGACGAAATTGGAGACGATTGTTGGACGACGATGTATATGCCTGTCGGGGTTTTGCTGGAGTCTTAATTGAGTTGCTGAACAACTGATACGTGTTCATGGTTGCAAGTATAATGCGGCTGAGATAGGCTTCATCAACGATAACGATCTTTTCCTCGGCTGGGAGCAGATCGTAATAAATTTTATCGTTTTCGGGCTCATTATGCGACTCAACAGCAAACAAATATTTTTTTGCAATTGCACCTGTGAATAAATAAATTTAGCAGAATATACAATTTTGAGAAAAATTGCAATTAAATGTGGTATATTTAAGGAGTTCATTGATTGGCATTATTTCGAGGTACAGTTAGATCCATGGGGGTAATTTGCGACCACAGTTTCTCGATGAAAGAATATAAATTCTGAAAAATGTAAAAAAAAGAAAAAAAAAAAATCAGTCGAAACCTATTAAATGTAAATAACATGTAGTGTTTTTTTATATTGCCAGGAAGTGGGGAGGAGTAGTAGCCCAACGTGTACTGTCCATATGTGTTCTAATTACGAGTCAATTTCCCTCTATCCTTGCCGCAAATTATAACTTTCGTCCTTTCCTCTTCATCGAAAATAAAGTCAACACGCTTGAGTGCATTTATCATGCGAGCCATGTGTTACGTAAGTATACGTTGGTGTGTCGACCACATGTAGGTTTTTGATGTTGTCATTTGATGTTACGTAGAAAACAGTTACTTGAAAAGTTATTCACAAAAATTAACTAATCTTTTTAAGAGCTTTGGTTTATGGCAGTGAGACTAATTGATTTGTTTTCGAGCATAATAATTTACACTTATTGTTGTTAGTTAGTAATTTTCGTTTTTTATTACTCAAATACCCTATATTTTTACGTTGATGACTAAGAATTTTCTCATACAAAAATCTGTTCAAATGTAAACTGCAGATAATTTAGCATTCAGCTGAATCAAAAAGGCATACCAAAGAGAAATTGAGAACAATATCTTCTTTATGAATAAAAGAAGGCCTATTGCGTGAAACGTTCAAGCGCTGAAGAGAAAAATGAACTCGGAGGAAATCGAGATCAATCAATTCCTCGAGATCTCTCTTGAAAGTTCCAATCTGGGTTGCATTGTTACACATGACGAATCGAAATGATAGGCTTCGATTTGTGAAAATATTTTCTGACTAATTGTAATTATAACTTTCAAATTATTTTTTTCAAGTGTTTATTGTATTAATGATTTTTTTTCTAAATCGTGAATGTTTGCATTAGTATTTATATGATTGGATTGAATAACTTTTATTTTATAGTACACAAAAAAAAATTACATTACTTATACTATTCAAGCTATAAAAAGGTGTTCTGTAATCCTTTTGATATCAACCCACCACCTGTATCTGATTCATAGATAACTTTAAAGTCGGAAACAGTTACCTTTAAATATCATAAAGAAGAAATCGTACACACCGAGACATTTTTTTGGACAGTCATTATGAGCAAGCGCAAAAAAAGAAAGAAAGAAAAAGAAAGCTAAATTTTTCAAAAAATCAAGCTAAATAAAAACAAAAATCACGAAGTAATGTGAAACAAACCCCACATCATCTCCTCTGAGGCATATATTTAATTCTGACACTCACCATAACGCACGAGATGGAAAACAGAACAGGGAAAAAAAACAGTCAACCTTCTCATCATTACGGGTTTTTCCTTCCCCCTGAGAGCACACGATACCGTTGCCGTTGGCTTTTGTTTTGG